AAGCTATCAAAATTAAGCACGCACCTGCCCCATGGATTAATGATAAAATTAGGACATTGATGCATGGAAGGGATGCCGCAAAAGCTCGTTACAAGTATCGTCTCAGTGTTGAAAATAAGGCTAAGTATCTCAAACATCGGAATTGCTGCAATAGAGTGTGTAGGGATGCACAACGACGCTACATTCATGACTCGATCTCAGAGCGTGATCCCGGTAAAGTTTGGAAATTTCTCAAGTCATTAGGAGTTGGCAAGATCCATCAGGATAGCATATCTTCTAATTTTGATGTTAACTCTCTTAACCAGCACTTTTCAACATCTCCTGTTATTGATGTTAATAATAAAACTAAAACATTATCAGATCTTTCCTCGCTTCCAACTCCAGACTATTCACCATTTGTTTTTAATCAATTTACAGAGTGTGACGTTAAGAAGAGCATTATTTCTATAACGTCTGATGCAGTAGGTAGCGATTGCATCAGTCGTAAGATGATCATTCCGATTCTTGATGAAATATTGTCTATAATTTGCTTTATCCTAAACCGCTCCATTGAAACTTGTACCTTTCCAAAGTGTTGGAAAGAAGCACAAATTATCCCCATTCCAAAAAAGAACAATCCTCATTCTTTCTCTGATTTGCGACCTATCTCAATCCTATCATTCCTTTCTAAAGTGCTTGAACGCCTTATTCATACTCAATTGACAAAATTTTTTACTGAAAACAACCTATTGAACCCTTATCAGTCTGGCTACCGACCCGGTCATAGCACAGTAACAGCACTAGTCAAGATTACTGATGATATTCGATCGGGTATGGAACACGGCCAACTGACCATTCTCACGCTCCTAGATTTTAGCAATGCGTTCAATACCGTCGACTTTGATATCCTGCTGGAACTGTTACGCTCTCTTAACGTATCTCCGCCTGTAGTTGAATGGATTCGTGACTACTTGTTTGGACGCCGGCAGCGAGTACGAATAGGTGATACATATTCATCTTGGTGCGATACGTTTGCTGGCGTTCCGCAAGGTGGCGTCTTATCTCCTCTCCTTTTTTCAGTTCTTATTGACTCAATATCTGACCAACTAACTTCTCTCTACCATCTATATGCAGACGATTTACAAATTTATACTCAGGCCTCTATAGATAATTTAAAGGATGCTATCGCTTTAACAAACAAGGATCTTAAACATATAAGTGATTGGAGTAAGGCTTTTGGACTGAAAATAAATCCTTCCAAGTCTCAGGCAGTTCTAGTAGGTAGTTCTAAGTTAATACAAAAGGTCGATCATTCAACACTGGCATCTATAAATTTTGGTAATGTGGCTATCCCCTTCAGTGCATCAGTGAAAGATCTAGGTATAATTATAGATAGTTCCCTTACTTGGCGGCCACAAATAGAATCTGTCAGCAGGAAAGTTTTCGGATCTGTATGCTCACTTCGTAGACTGCGTAATTTCCTTCCTACTGCTACCAAAATTGCGCTATCCCAATCTCTTTTACTTCCAATTCTTGATTATGCCGATACTTGTTATCTGGATCTTACGGAAGACCAGCTTAACAAACTTGAGCGTCTTCAAAATGTTTTTATCAGGTTTATTTTCGGTCTTAGAAAATATGATCACATTTCCGAGTTTCGCACTAAGCTCAAGTGGCTTCCTATTCGTTTTCGCCGGAATACTCATATTCTTTCACTGCTCCACAATGCCCTTTTCAACTCTTCTTCCCCTCACTATCTGAAGGAGCGGTTTGAATTCTTGCATACCGTCAATTCTTTTAATCTTAGGTCTTCTGAGGGCCTTCAGCTGAAGATTCCGGTACATTTCTCTAATTTTTATGACAAATCATTTACGGTGCAAGCTGTACGGCTTTGGAATGCTTTACCAGTTTCCTTACGAAATATAAAATGTACGGCTGGTTTTAAAGCAAAACTGAAGAACTATTATTTGAGCAAGTTGTCATCTTCTTAATGTGTTTATATGTCTGGTTAGCATACTTATTACTTGCATACTTTTCGTGAACAGTATTTATATATTTTTATGTATTTGTGTAGGCGTTTATGTCCATGTATGTATATGTATTTGTATGTGTATGGTATGTATATGTATATATATGTATATATGTATATATATATATATATGTATGTATGTATGTGTATGTGTATGTATATATATGTATATGTGTGTGTAGGTGTATGTATATAAATATAATAATGAGTAGGGATAATATTTATATTATTATATGTATCACATCTCCCATATTTAGAACTAACAAAATTTTCCATCGTGCCTCCCACCAAACTGTTTATAATTACTCCTCTCCATCCAAAGGTTGCCTGGAAGAGATCGCTCTTAGCGACAAGGTCGCCCATTGTTTTCTCATTGTGATTATTTCTTGTAATTATTTATATTTATAATAAGTTTACTATTGTAATCTTTTGGAGGAAACAATAAAGAGTATCTATCTATCTACCCACCAAAAACCAGACGATATACCCTCGAGGTGCCATATGTCGGAGACATGGGTTCGCTTTCGCACTCACCACATCTCCGACGGCAGCGACTCGCCCCCTGATGGTAAGAGCAAGTCTTCTCTCTCAAGATAGGGTGGCTGGCGTGCTCACCCTACCACTCGGGGGATGCACCGGTATATTAGCCTATCCCCCAGGGAAGAGGTACGCTCCTACCCGTCCCTCGACTGTTAAGTTCTCTTAGTCATCTCTTACGATACGCACGGAAATGAAATAAAAAGTCATGCTACCTGGTAATTTTACCTCTGGACTACTTAGTTACTTACTCTAGTTTAAAATAAAGGTCGATTATTAAATCAATCATTTTCATATTTGAACTTTTATATTGCCTTAAATTGTATGCCCTATTATTTTTTAAGTAGAAAAACATGTACCCAATCGAAAGTTCTGGAAGTCTTTGACAACAATTTGCGAAAGTAAATAACGCATTAGTTATAATGTGTTTAGGGACAAAAGTGTTTAAGAGACTTCAAATAAAAGTATTGGGAGGTTCTTAATTTATTTGCATGTTTTTTGCGGCAGTTTTTTTTATATAACTTAGAATGGCAAACACGTTGACCTCCTCGCCTATAGACATGAGCAGTACCATAAACGTAACAGAGTATACTGTTTCGCCCATGATACCCCCCCCCCCATGCATTGCTATTCCTTAAGATTCAGGTGTGATTCCTCTGTACCCTATAAATTTACTGCCATATCCCACCCTTCATACCGAAACACAGCCATGCAAACAACAGTTTCACGGTAGAAATACGCATGGGACACAGGTGCCCAAGCAAACGACTTTTGTACAAATATTCTAGATAGCTACATATTTACGTAGACAAATCTGAACCGAATTTGATTTTTCTATTTGCAATCTATAATTTTTTTTTTTCCAAAATGGTTTATACTTAATTTTATAACGATTAAAACTTAAATATTCTATTGCAGAGATAAAAACTGTTAGATTTCGAAGCTAAATTTTCTTATTAGTTAATTGAAATTGAAATGTTATCTACTAATTATATTACGAAAGATTGCTCCCAGCAATAAGACCGCCTTACGGTACTTATACAATTGTATCGTTGTGTTTGTAAATTGTCATGTTTATTTCCTATATTGTATAATGCAAATAAAGTATACTCATTCATTCATTCATTTATACGAAATGCAATAAGAAATAAATAAATATTTTTTAGACTTTCGTGCTGTATATTTTATGCTTAATACAGGTATTATGCGATCAATTAGATTGTCATACCAGCCTTTAACTGTCCACTGCTGAACATAGCCTCTCCTCCATTAGCGGTTTTCTTTTTTTTGATAGATGTAAATGGTATGGTAACCCCGCCTGCGCTAACGGGATACGCTGGCGGAGCACCAGTGAAGGGTGATAGATGAGAATGAAAACAGGCCAGTTAGCCCATCATGATGAATTCATCAGGAATTAACCATGATAGTTTCCAGGGAGAACCGCTAGGAGGTCGACCTGGTTGGGTATATTGCTAGCAATGGGATTCTCAGTCTCTATTACTAACAATCCCTTTCCCCTCTTAACCATAAGGAGGTTTTTGCCAGTAGTTGCCACGCTAGGCAGGTGGGTTGGTAACCGCAGTTTGGCTTCCTTAGTCGTCTCTTACGATACCCACGGAAAAAGAAGAGGTGGCCTATTCTACGCTAGAACCTAAATCACGTATCATTTAGGTAAACTATGATAATTTATCTGAATTATTTCGACGTTTGATCCCGGTATAGAATGATCCACTTTGATTTACCAGAGGGAGACTTTGTACAAAAGTCGATTGCTTGGGTACCTCTATCCCATTCGTGTTTCAACCGTGAAGCAGTTGTGTTTACATGACTGTGTTTCGGTTTGAAGGGTGGGATATGACGTGAATTTACTGGGTACAGAGGAATAACACCTGAGTCCTCAGGAATGGCAATAAGTGGGGGCTATCATGGGCGAAACAGTATACTCTGTTATGTCCATGGTACTGCTCATGTCTATAGGCGACGGTTACCACTTTCCATCAGGTGGGCCGTCAGCTTGTTTGCCATTCTAAGTTGTATAAAAAAAAATCCGGCCCTTCTTTGTCCGTGGGTGGCTGAGTGGGTGGGTGAGAGGGTGAGAGGATGGTTGTATACCATAAGGAGCAACTAAAGGAACTTAATGGCGAGGGATGGGCAACAGCATCTCTTCAAAAACATCACCAAAACCTAACTACGGCTGCCAATCCGCCTGTCAGACATAGCAAGTACTAGCAAAACTCTCCAATAAGGGGAGAACTATATTAAGCAGTGGACAGTTGACGACTGAAATGATGAAGATGGTATGATTTCGACCTTTCGACTAGGATACACCGGCCATGATCACGGGTAGATCTTCTGTCTGCCTATCCGAAGCCAAGCCGGATCCAATTCCCATTTCCTATAAACCATAAACTATGCAACGCGAAGTTCTAAAAGTTAATCTTATGATTGTACACAGCCCGACCTTCTTCACCAAGGAACTGCACAGCCAACCGTGTAATCCGGCACAGTGAAGCGTACCTAACAGTGAAGTGCATAGCAGGGTACGACGGAGGGCTCACTCAGCACTTCACACTGGACGCTCTCAGTGACACCGGCAGGGTTCTGGTCAACACCACCGCTGGACAATTGGGTAAGAGCTTGAGAACTGAACTGTATGCAGTGAAATAGAATAGTGCGGTATGGAGTGATATGAATTTTAATAAATAAATAAATAAAAATAAATGAGTAATTTTTAATTTACTTTTTTTATCTTACTAGCTGACCCGGCGTCCCTAATAGCAGAATAAGTATGAAAAAACTAAAAAATCGATTGTTAGGCGGTATGAAGTTCGCGAGGTCAGCTAGTTTCTTACATAATTTTTTTTTTTATACAACTTAGAAATGGTTGATGGAAAGTGGTAACTATCGCCTATAGACATGAGCAGTACCATGGACATAACAGAGTATACTGTTTCGCCCATGATACCCCCCATGCGTTGCCATTCCTGAGGACTCAGGTGTTATTCCTCTGTACCCTGTAAATTCACGCCATATCCCACCCTTCAAACCGAAACACAGCCATGCAAACACATCTACTTTACGGTTGAAACACGAATGGGACAGAGGTACCCAAGCAAACGACTTTTGTACAAAGTCTCCCACTTTTGTTATTATTGTTATTATTTCTCATTAATTTAAGTGTGATTGAGTATACAATAAATACTTAAACAGCTTTGTAAATTTTTATATTTATTTATAACATTAATAGGATAGTAGGATTACAACTGTAACAAACAATTTTATTTGTAACAGATCTAATTGTATGGCTGAACATAAGCTGGTCAGATTTGGAGTCATTAACAGAAGAGGAGGTTCTGGCTGTGACGGCGCGTAACAGCAAAGGTGCCTCCGAGCCTGTCCTGTTACGAGATCTGGTCTTCAGAGACGCAGCCAAGAGAACTGGTGAGTGAACATGACTAGCTAAAAGGTTTCCAATGTATTCAGGGTTCATGTGTATGTATAGGTCCTACTTAGGGTTAAAGAAAAGACAGAGAATTATAAGAACTATTGAGGTCAGAAGGAAGAAAATGTTAGGACACTTGATACGACACGACGAATTTATGAACATTATAATAGAAGGTGAGATAGAAGGAAGAAGAAGAAGGGAGAGACCAAGACATAGTTACATCAGGCAGATCAAGGAAGAAGTTGGTGTCGTGTCGTATCAAGAGGTGAAGAGACTCGCTGAAAATCGTAGTGAGTGGCAAGACCTCCATCGAAAAGAGGACAAGGCATCTAGACAAGTGGCAAGCGAATTCGTCGATGGAATCGACATCGCTAGCGAGTCCGTGAGTTAGAATGAGTCGCCCGGTGTTGCTATCTCATTCTATCTCACGGACTCGCTGGCGATGTCGATTCCATCGACGAATTCGCTTGCCACTTGTCTAGAGGCCCAGCTCTTAAATAGGATAGATAGATGGATGATGGATGTATGTATATGTGAGTTTATTTAACCGACTTCAAAAAGAAAGTTCTCAATTCGGTTGTATTTTTTTTTAGGATTTGTTATCTCATAACTTCGTTTATTCTAAACCGATTTAGAAAATAACTTACTCGTCTAAAAGGATATATGATTGGATATCAGATTTAGATGCACTTCATATTGATACCTAGAATTTAAAAAAAATAAATTTGTTACTTAAAAGTAATTGGTTTTGTCATATTACGTCAGTTTATTAAATCTGGTCAGTCAGTTTATAATATGATATTAAGAAATAATAATAGAAAGGCTTTTTTTTTTGATGCGTGAAAATGTTATGGTAACCCCGCCTGCGCTAACGGGATACGCTGATGGGCCACCAGTGAGGCATGATAGATGACGATGAAGCAGACTAGTTGGCCCATCGTGACGAATTCAACAATAAACCAATCAAGATGGTTTCCAGGGGGAACCGCGTGGAGGTCGACCTGATAGAGTTTATTGCTAGCAATGGGATTGTCAATCCCCATTGGTAGCAACCCCTTCTCCCCCTAATAGTAAGGTTTGGATGTATGGAGTATCAATGGAAATCTTACATCACCCCAAATGACAGTTGCTATAATATGTATTAATTTTTTTTTATCGGTTAAGGCGCTATAAGATAACAAACAATCATACTTTCACATTTATATCATTAAGTAATAATCGTAAAAAAAAAAGAAATCGTGGTGTCTACTAAAATTGTTAATTTGAAAGTTTGTTTATTTATTAGCTCTTAGCGTTTTAACGGCTCTACCAATCGTCGTGAAACACTATACACAACTATGTAGGATGAAAAAGGACATAGGTTACCTTTCACTCCAATCAAAGGACATATGCTGGTCACGCGGACGAAGTCGCAGGTGGAAGCTAGTTCATCATCATCATCATTTCAGCCGTTAACTGTCCACTGCTGAACATAGGCCTCCCGCAGTTTCGGTAGTTGCCATGTTTAGCAAGCGAATTGGCAACCGCAGTTACACTTTTAAAGATGTTTTAAGAGGGACGCCGCTGCTCATCCCTATACCATTTACTTCCCTTAGTCGCTTACCTTCCCTTAGTCTTACGACACCCACAGGAAAGGAAGGGGTGGCCTATTTTACGCCGGGACCACTCGGTCAGTTTATAATATTAAGAAATAAACGGTATTTTATAATTTTAGCAAATAAATATTGTGGTATTTGTTAAAATTCGAATAGAACGCACAAGTGAAGCGAGCAGCAATTTCCCCGCGGCCGCTGCACTAGCCGCGCTAGCAGCGCTGCTCACGGCCGTCGGCGCCATAATTGCACTGGTATTACGCAGGTAATAATTATTGCCACAGGTAATATTATATTATACATTATTACTACTAACGGTGCTGTAAAAACTGTATAATATAAAAAAAAAATATCTTAGACTATGTAAGTAGAGCATCTTCACACAGATGCATCGACAAAAACAGATCAACTTTTTTATCCGTGTTTTTTTTTATACAACTTAGAATGGCAAATAGGCTAACGGCCCACCTGATGGAAAGTGGTAACCGTCGCCTATAGATATGAACTGTACCGTGGACATAACAGAGTATACTGTTTCGCCCATGATACCCCTCATGCGTTGCCATTCCTGAGGACTCAGGTGTTATTCCTCTGTACCCTATAAATTCACGCCATATCCCATCTTTCAAACCGAAACACAGCCATGCAAACACAACTGCTTCACGGTTGAAACACGAATGGGACAGAGGTACCCAAGTAATCGACTTTTGTACAAAATTGATTGCTTGGGTACCTCTGTCTTGTTTTGTATATTTTTGTATATAAGACCTGTATTACAAAAGTAGTAGTTTTCAATGCAAATTAAAAAAACGTCCTGACTCCGTACCATACTCATACCTTACAGCCTAAATGGTCGCGTACAACGCGGTTTCAGAGATGCTTTCTCCCACGAACACTCAGGTTATGGAATGAGCTCCCTGCCGAGGTTTTCCCGAGAGACTACAGCATGGGGTTCTTCAAAAGGGGGGTAAAGAGGTTTCTTCAGGGTCGGCAACGCGCGCATAATACCTCTGGTATTGCAGGCGTTCATAGGCTACGGTAACCGCTTACCATCAGGTGGGCCGTATGCTTGTTTGCCACCTCAGTGGTATAAAAAAAAAATTATTTAATTTACGAAACAGACGCAGCGACAACGCAGCGAACAGCAAGCGACCATCGCAGAGCGTGGTACAAGTCGACGCTCAAGGTCGGAGGTACCTGATAGCGTATCCAGCGCCAGCAGACAAGTTGGAGACCAAACCTGATATTTTGAATCCTAAGTCTGGTACGTAAGGTTTCTATTTGTTTGTACTTTAATTACTCTTGCAGTTATAAGCTCGAAAATGCAGTGAAAAATTTAAATCATTAGTGTATCAAGAAACATCGTTACTAATATTACAAATTTCAGCGTGAATCTGTTTGTCTGTTACCTTATAACACCTTAACCGGTTTACCAATCACTATGACATTTGGTATGCACGTATTGTATGGGATGGAAAAGGGTATAGGCTACTTTTTATTTCGAAACATATCCCGGTCACGCGAACGAAGCCGCAAGCAATAGCTAGTGCTAAATAAATAGTAAATTGAATAAATAAAGGAAAAGTTAGCAACTGTTTATTTCTTTAATTTTTTTCCAATTCTGAACATTTCATAATATTAGTATCAAGTCCACGTCACTACAAACAAAAAAAAATGTCCATAAAGAATCTATGCAACCAATTCATTGAATTTGAAAATTTTACGCTACAAAGTAGCTAGGCATTTTATGATACCTATCAATATTTCGGGTTGATTGTAGTATTATAAATAGTTGTTATAACATTAATATTCATAATCTTGTTGAATATTCATTTATATTGTGTTTATATTTCTGGGTGGTTGCATAGAATGATTTTCCAGTATCTACAATAACAGGGCAGTGCCGTCTCTTAAAACAATGATTACTTACTCTGTTTTAATTTTTTTTTATACAACTTAGAATGACAAAAAAGCTGACGGCCCTTCTGATGGAAAGTGGTATTTGTCATATAAAAACATCATTATATCAGTCGTTATTCGTCCACGGCTGAACCTAGATATCCCCCATAGACTGCTATAAAGTATGGGGGCGTTCCTTATAGCAGTAACCATTGCGGAGATTTAGTCAGTAGTTGCCACTCTTGACAACAGCAGCTTGCTTTTTGGTCATATTCTAAAAGGAACGCTGCTGCCTATCCCTCCACCGTTAAATCTCTTTTTAAATTTTATATTATATTAATTTAAATTTATTGCATTCATACAGACAATGAACCCCCCCGTGTGGTGTTAGAATCGAGTGACAGCAAGAACTATACCATCAGGGAGGCGGGAAAGGAAGCACACAAATCGGCATACAGCCCGCCGCCGACCGACGATGAAATGGTATGTTGTCTATGGTCATACAAATGGAACATTATTTTGTCTAAGATGACTTTTTACACAGGAACAGTTTTACATAAAAGAAAAAAAAAAAGAAAGAAAACTATATGGATTTCTAAAAACTATCTCCATAACATTGTGGTCCACAAACAAAAAACAAAAAAAAATCGACTTCAACTGTAGTTTTGTGGTCCTGCTATGACCACGTGGTGCAATCTACGTCGAAATGTCGGTTATAAAGAAGCAAATATGTAAATACAATTTAAAAGTTTAAAAGCGTTGCCATTCCTGAGGACTCAGATGTTATTCCTCTGTACCCTGTAAATCCATGCCATATCCCACCCTTCGAACCGAAACACAGCCATGCAAACACAACTGCTTCACGGTTGAAACACGAATGTGACAGAGGTACCCAAGCAAACGACTTTTGTACAAAGTCTCCCTCTGGTAAAAAAATAATGCCTGGTTCAGTAAAATATCAAATCATCAATTTGATTCATACTTACATATATAAGCTAATACTTTAGTTTATATAGATAAAAAAGTCTCCATACAAACGCTTTAAGAAAAACGTGTCAGCTTTTTCATACAATTTTGTATGATAAATAGTTATGAGTGATTCGTTTATAACTCCTATATTTATTTTGTCTTATAATTTCTGCATCTTTTTAATGCGTAAATACTCGTTTTATTTATTAAATAATTAAATATATATACGCCAAGATACATTATGTGCGTAAGTATATAGAACACTGATAAGAAAACGAAGTAGCTAATTGGACAATTAGCTGACAAAAATTCGACCCGTTTTTGAGACTCGATGCTCTATCTACGTAATCTAAGGTTAATACGTATTCAACGCAGCATATCGTTACAATTCATACAACGATTTTCCGTAACGACATAACAAACAAACAGATATCAGTTTCGACCCTTATTCTATTATAATACAGATAACATCCCGCCTAGTTTCCACCATGCAACACATGTATCCATGGGATACCTACACCATGATATACAAAATCATATAGAGAACAGAGTTAACTATTAACAGGGTAAGAAAACAGTAGGCACGCACGCGAATCAGGGAAAATCTTTATGTAATCATTTCAAATATGGATATACACTAGGGTTGCCAACTGCCCTGTTTTTCCAGGAGATAGAATGAGCTCCCTGTCGAGGTTTTTCCAAATGACTACAGCATGGGGTTCTTCAGAAAAGGGGTAAAAAGGTTTCTTCAAAGCCGACAACGCGGACGTAAAAAACTTTTTTTTTTATACAACATAGAATGACAAACAAGCTGACGGCCCACCTGATGGAAAGTGGTAACCGTCGCCTATAGACATGAGCAGTACCATGGACATAACAGAGTATACTGTTTCGCCCACGATACCCTCCACGCGTTGCCGTTCCTGAGGACTACCACATTGCTAGCAATATAGCCTATTAGGCCGACCTCCACGCAGTTTCCTCTGGAAACCATCGTGGTTAGTAATCGTCGAAGTCATCATTATGAGCCAATTGCTGCTTAATCCTCACCTATCACCCCTCACTGGTGCCCCGATAGCGCAGACAGATTCACTATTTCATTTTCACTCTTTAAAAAAAAATATCAAATCATTTTTTAAATTTGAGACTGGCAACCCTAATATAGACGAAACATTCACGTAAGGAACAGCAAAAACTGTTACGATGACTCGCAAAATAAATATTTTGATACGCGAAATCCGTAGGACGATTATAAGGTAGAGAATATAATAAAAATAATAATCCGTAACTACTAATAATAATGATTATTTTTTTTTTTACAACACAGGGGGCAAACGAGCATGCGGCTCACCTGATGGTAAGTGACTACCGCCGCCCATGATCACCCGCAACACCAGCGGCATTGCAGGTGTGCTGCCGGCCTTTTAAAAAGAAATATACTCTTTTCTTGAAGGTTATGTTGTCGTATCGGTTCGGAAATACTGCTGCTGGAAGTTGATTCCAAAGAGTGGTTGTGCGTGGAAGAAAGTGCCTTGTAAAACGCACGGTGGAAGACCGCCACTCGTCCAGATGATGGGGATGAAACTTTAGTTTTTTTTAGATTATTTACTTCATTCTCGGCTAATTTTCCGGTTTTCTCGGACAACCCGTCCCAAAAACCTTTGGAAAAAAGAAAGCTGAGATTCCAACCCCTTTTATTGCGTGTGTGTATGCAAATATGCATACACATGTATATTACTACATATATAATTATTATTTACATTGAATTGCTTATTTCTCAGCTTTTAGCGCTGGTAATACACACTTACGGGTACGTGACCAAGTAAGTGCAGTGTGTATGTTTGAATGGAAGGTTATGTATGTGTATGTCGGGTGGCTACTTCATCCTCATCTATATCTAAGAATGTTTTATCTATTCTGCAAGTATTTAATATAACAGCCTTTTGTAGGGAGATGTAGAGATTTTTTCGTAGACCTATTTGTTTTAGACTATGGTGTAAATGGTTGGGAATGACACCTGTAGATGAAAGGACTATCGGTACTATGTAAACTTTTTCCTGTTTCCAGATTCTTGTGATTTCATCTTTAAGTTCAGCGTATTTATATTAATTATTATTATTTCTATCACAATGGCGTTATATATTTTTTTACTTATATTAAATTATTTACACATCACTACATAGTATAAAACAAAGTAGCTGTCGCTGTCTGTCCGTCTCTATATATGCCTAAATCTTTAAAACTACGCAACGGATTTTGAAGCGGTTTTTTTAATAGATAGAGTGATTCAAGAGGAAGGTTTATATGTACTCGTATAATATAGTAGGGAGACTTTGTACAAAAGTCGATTGCTTGGGTACCTTTGGGTACCTCTGTCCCATTCTTGTTTCTACCGTGAAGCAGTTGTGTTTGCATGGCTGTGTTTCGATTTGAAGGGTGGGATATGGCGTGAATTTACAGGATACAGCGGAATAACACCTGAGTCCTCAGGAATAGCAACGCATGGAGCGTATCTTGGGCGAAACAGTATACTCTGTTATGTCCATGGTACTGCTCATGTCTATAGGCGACGGTTACCACTTTTCATCAGGTGGGCCGTCAGCTTTTTTGTCATTCTAAGTTGATTAAAAAATTTTTTAAGTTTTTATCTAAATTTAGGTATAGGTCTACATTTAAATTTAAGTTCAAATTCAGATCCAGGTTCAGACCTAAATATATGTCTATATTTAAGCCTAGATTCATGTCCTAGGTCTAGATATTACTCTAGAGTCACTCAAAGTAATAATTACATGTTTTTTTTTGATGGGTGAAAATGGAATGGTAACCCCGCCTGCGCTAACGGGATACGCCGGCGGAGTACCAGTGAAGGGTGATAGATGAGAATGAAAACAGGAGGTACCAAGTGACCGAGGTTAACAGGAAGATGTTCGCTGCTTCTGTGTCGCTTCGAAGACTTAGAAACTTTCTCCCTACAGCCACTAAAATTTCCCTAGCTCAATCCCTCCTACTCCCAATCCTTGACTATGCAGACGTCGCTTATCCAGATCTAAATATTGATATGCTAAATAAATTAGAACGACTTCAAAACCTCTGCATACGATTTGTTTTTGGTCTGCGCAAATTTGATCATGTATCGCACTATCGCTCTTAGCTTAAATGGCTTCCCATACGCCGGCGAAGAGATTTACATACCCTCTCTTTGTTACATAATATTCTTTTTAACCCTGGTGCACCTGCCTATCTTAAAGAACGTTTTAAAATCATCTCCTCTACCCATACTTTAACATTACGTTCTTCCGAAAACCTTTCCCTTATGACTCCTTCTCATTCCACTGAATTTTATCACATATTCCTTCACTGTTTCTAGCATTAGGTTATGGAATTCATTGCCTGTTGTTATTAGAAGTACAAAATCCATTGATGCTTTCAAACGACAAGTGAAAGATTATCTTTTCTCTATCTGATTTTTTCTTCATTTAAAAAATTGGCATTCTTTATTTATGTATTTATATAATTATTTATTTTATGATAGTTTGTTTTCCTTGTACATAATTATTACTAGGATACATATTAATATAATTATTAATATGTATCCTAGTATTGGGTACATATTTAACATATATGCATGGGATTATATAATTTTGTTTGATTGATATGTATGTGTATGTGATTGTGTATATATGTGTATATATATGTATATAGTTTATATATATTTTTAATCTGCAAAAGATGCTTTTTTAATTATAAAGCCCTATTATACCTACTTGTACAACAATTAGTCCATTACCTTAAGGTTGTCTTGAAAAGATTGCTCTCAGCAATAAGACTGCCTTACTGTACTTATACAATTGTATCGTTGTGTTTGTAAATTGTCTTGTTTATTTCCTATATTGTATAATGCAAATAAAGTATACTCATTCATTCATTCATTCAAAACAGGCCAGTTAGCCCATCATGAATTCATCAGGAATTAACCATGATAGTTTCCAGGGGGAACCGCGAGGAGGTCGACCTGGTTGGGTATATTGCTAGCAATGGGATTCTCAGTCTCCATTACTAACAATCCTTTTACCCCCAATAGTTACATGTTAACCAACCACCAACTTTCAACCGTTCATTTTATTTTACCCCCTAATTGTCGTAAAACAATCTCGATTATTTAATGGGAGGGATGGATGTCAACCTACCATTTCTCATCAGTTTTTATCCATGTCTCAGCAATAATCATAATGTTTCCATTGTTGTGAATTACGTTTTATAGTGAACTCTCTTTTTTAATATTAGGACATAACAGGGTTCGCATCGTAAAAACAAGTTATGGCATAATAAAATGGGGACAAGTTGTTAGATACAGGAGCTTGTGTATACACATTTATATATAGCTAGCTACTTACCCCGACTTTGCACGGTACTTTATTTTGATGTATCCCTTAAGGGTAGCCATTAACATCAATTTTTGGCGACTGGATAAAACAAAAACATTGACTTTATCTTGTTACATAAAAGATAGATAGATAGATAGATAGATAATTTATTTGCATTACTTAAAGCAAAACAGACATATATAGACATATACAAGAAGCGAGATAAAACAAATACATAACAAAAAAAATACATAAAAGAGAAACATATTTTTTTTCCTTTCGTGTATGTGCTATAACTCAGTTAAACACAAAGTGATCATAACTCAGCCTATTCCTTTACCCTCAAAAAAGCAAAACACTGATATTCTTATTATTAAATAGTTTTTTTTGTTTTTTTTTTATACAACATAGAATTGTTTTTTGTACAACATAGATGTGTTTCGGTTTGTAGGGTGGGATATGGCGTGAATTTACAGGATACAGAGGAATAACACCTGAGTCCTCAGGAATGGCAACGCATGGTGGGTATCATGGGCGAAACAGTATGTATGTGTACTGTTATGTCCATGGTACTGCTCATGTCTATAGGCGACGGTTACCACTTTCCATCAGGTGGGCCGTCAGCTTGTTTGCCATTCTAAGTTGTATAAAAAAAAAAAATAGACGGTTACTTCTTAACTTTCTATCACTGGTGCTACTTCCATACAATAAATTAAAGTGTAAGTGAATAAATAAATAAATATTTTTACTGTATAACAGACTTAAACATTGTCTATTCCAGATGCCGCAAAGATAGCAAAGGGAGGGAACGCACAGTGCCGTGTAAATATAACGAACGCTAATTGTAAATCCAAAGAATGCCAACAATATTGTTTGTAAGGTAATATAATGAATCTTCCATATCAATTTATTATAATATTTATGATTATCTCAATAAGGCCCTTTTTACAACTGTACGCCACGTTTCGCGTCTCTATTATGGCATTATTTTGTATTAATTTCCAAATTTGTTACGGAATTAAATGTATTCGTACCCGTTCGCCTTAATGATATAATCTAAATGAAAGGTTTATGTTTACATATATATGTATATGTACATGATATTTTAATGTAAATTGTGATTAATAAATAAACGTTGATTCTGAAATGAAAATATATGGATTTTATTTCTAGTATAGATACATTCATAATATAAATAAATTAGTACTAATACAGAGGAGTCACTGTCACAAGGAGTCTGCAACATGATGACGATGATGATTTTATATTTTATGATGAAAACGGAATGGCTTCTTAACCTGTGCTTACGGAATACGCTGGCGGGGCACCAGTGAAGGGTGATAGATGAGAATAAAAAGGCAGGTCTATTAGCCTATCGTGATGAATACACCTGGAATTCAGCACGATGATTTCAAAGAGGAACCACGTGGAGGTCGACCTGCTTGGGTATATTGCTAACAATAGAGCCCCTAGTCTCCATTACTAATAATCCCTTCCCCCCCCCCTATAATATTTTTTTAATGGATGATAATGGAATGGTAACCCCACCAGCGCTATCGGTATTGACCGGAGGGGCACCAGTGAAGGATGATAAGTGAGGATGAAGCATGTCAGTTAGCCCATCGTGACGAATTCCACAAGAATTGTTCACGATGGCTTCCAGGGGGAACCACGTAATGAGTATTACTAAAACTTTAAAGCGGTTGCCAATATATATATATATATATATATATATATATATATATATATATATATATATATATATATATATATATATATATATATATATTACATGTATTACATCTCTATATTTAGAAATAATAGGATCTTCATCGTGCCTCCGATCAAACAGTTTATAATTACTCCTCTTCATCCAAAGGTTGCCTGCAAGAGATCGCTTTTAGCGACAAGGTCGCCCATTGTTTTCTCATTGTGATTATTTCTTGTAATTGTTTATATCTAGAATAAGTTTACTATTGTAATCTTTTGGAGGAAATAATAAATAATAAAGTTAAATAAATATAAGTTTATGGGTACAATATTGATTATTTAGTTAGTTACACGTCTGACGCGTACAAGATTGTAATATCGCCGCTGGGCACACGGCCTTGTACATTACAATCGTACTCTGACACCTTAATATATAGAAGCCATTTGTTGTACCTATGATATATAGGTATACTATATGTTGCGAGAAAATGAGGATACTTTTTTATGGAATGATAATTGTAGCCCCGCTTGCGATATCTATATACGTTGGCAGGGCTCCAGTGAAATAGGTAAAGAGGAAATCAGATCACTTGGTACATCGTGATGAATTCATCAATAATTAACCATGATGGTTTCCAGGGATACCGCGTGGAGGTCGACCTGATAGGGTATATTGCTAACAACGGGGCTGTTAAACCGCACTACTAATAATCCCTGTTTAATAATCATTCACTCTGACTCGTTCATTTGAGCCCTCTCGCTCCCGCCACACAGCACGTATAACATGTCGTCTCTTTATATATAGTTTTAAAATAATAAATATTCAATAATACCAAGTGCCTTTGGACTTTACATCCACTATAACCTGCATACCATAGTAAGGTATATAAATAGTATACAATCCCTTTCCCCCTAACGAGGTCTGCAGGATGTGAGGTTCCTTTCAAAGAAAAAGCTGATCTTTTGATTTCCTTAACAAGCTTACAGCCCACCTGATGGAAAGTGGTAACCATCGCCTATAGACTTTAGTCTTAAAATATCATGAGGTACCTAAATACCCAATACAAACTGATGTAAACTGAATACAATCATTCGTATTGTGTAGGGATCGAATCCACAACCAACGGAAAGCAATGTAAATAGTACCAACACTCTCTTTACATTAAAAGAGGTATGACGTAAAGATAAATTAAATGAACATACAAATCCATACCAATTCGCTAGTCAAATATAAATTTGTGCGGCGGTAAGTAGGCCGATTGAATTCGGCATCGAGTAAACCCACGATTTATGGCGAAAATCGAATAATTGATTGTATCGATACATAGGGGATTGAATAAATCATTTCGGAACACCGACACGTTCGAGCAAGCGTTAATTTGGTGTAATCTGTGGGTGTTAATAAAAAGAAAAAAAAAGAAAAAATATTTGTCATAGAGATTACAGAGGTGTCGAAAAATTGGCGGGAAATCTTGTTGCTAGGACTTTTTTTTTTTAATAGAAAGACAAGACTCAGTACGATTAGATAATAGTTTGATTTATGAGCATTGTTCAACTAGCGGCTAATTATTTAGTTATTTAGGTAAATATAATTATTGATATAACTAGATTTCTCTATATACGTATATTTAGAAGGTATTTACAATAAAAAATAAAATAAAAAAATAGAAATTATATAATGCGTGAAACGAGAGATCGAGTTAGGGAAGATAACATGGAAAATGTATATAAAAAGAAACGGCGCTGTCATATTTATGTCTATATCTAGTCTGAAAGAAAGGCGAGAAATAACTTTGCACAATTTAATTAACTTACTTGATGGAAAAGGAATGATGTTTACAACTGATGATGAGTTTGTTATGAGTTCTTTTTTAAAAAACGGAATGTGACAAACAAACTAATAAAAAATAGGCAACCGTTGCTTTTAAACGTAATAAAAAAAACACAACCGCGCAAAAACAACTGTCAAAATTGATGACAGAAATATGACTTCGACGATATACGATAGAAACAAAATTTCTAACAGTTACTGCTTTTTTTATTGGGTGAAAATGGAGTGGTAACCCTGACTGCGCTAACGGTATACGCTGACGGGGCACCAGTGAGGGGTGATAGGTGACGATGAAAGCAGGTCAGTTAGCCCATCGTGAAAAATTGCACTAGAACTAAACCCCGATGGTTTTTTGGGAGAACCACGTGGAGGTGGACTTGATAGGGTATATTGCTAGCAATGGGGCAGTTAGACCCCATTACTAACAATCCCCTTCCCACAATTACTACTTTAGCATCCATTAGTCTTATTAAGACCGCTCGTGTTATTTCTTCTCAAATATCTCCCATGTAAGATAAAATATAAAGATATAGAAGTGCAAACTGCACGAATCCATTTGTTGCCACAAACTGTATATCTATCAATACTATACACACACACACACACACACACACACACACACACACACTGCATCAAAGTTTCACAGAGAAATGAGAATAAATATTCAACCTGTCTATATGAGATTGCACGCTGTAGTGCGCAAACAGACCTAACGCTTCCCTCCCGTTAAGTATTATAGCATTTCAAACCGACTTCGAATATAAATTCTCGATTGGTCTAGTTTTTCAATAAATGAACTTCAAACTTTAAATTAACTATTCACCTTTACATGAATTAATATTTTCATAGAAGATGGAAAACAAACTTTAAATCCATCTGATAGTGAACTTGTGGGCGTCGCAGTGTATTCTGTGACGTCCATATTGCTTTTCATATCTATAGTTCGTATTTTTTTGCCAGAAACATAGATAATTTTACATCAAGTTGACTGTTAGCTAGTTTCCCATTCGACGTTACGTAAAAAAGCCGCTGAAAACATTTGGTACTTAGTAATACATTACAGAACTATGTCGTTCACCAGAGAGGAGATTGTTAGTAATGGGGACTTTAATCCCCATTACTATCTGTATGCCCAGTCAGATCGATGCCCAGATGATCGCGCCCCGCCAGCGTGTACCGATAGCGCAGGCGAGGTTACCATTCCATTATCATCCATTAAGAACTATAATGCTCACCCTTTTTGCCCTTAATAGATAAGATATCTAACTAATTAACACGTCATTAATCACCATTTCAATAGTTGCATGATCCCGTATGCGGTCGACCTGATACGGCCGTCCGTCCGCCAACCAGCCATCAAAGAGCAATTGTGATAAATCGTAGACGCAGATAACCGAAATGTTACGAGGTAATAGGCATTTAACGCGCAATTTTATTATATTTTATTTTACAGATTATGTTGTTAACACACTATATAAATACAATAGTTTATAGCACAGGCTTAAAAAAACAACAAGTAATGGCTAAGAAGCTGGTTTTTATTGCTAGGACTTTCAGAAAATTACACTAAAAACTTTATTATTTATTGTTAACACTTTTGAATGAAAATATTGTTTGTATATTAACAAGGGATCTCACTGGACGCTGAGAACTAAAGAAGCATGTGCCCCAACTAGGCTAATGACCAAAAAGTGTTTGCAGATTTTGTCACAGTAAGGAAGAAACGCCGCAGCACTTAATTTGTGGCTGTAGCCCACTCATATATAAACGATATATCTCGTTTGGAAAACACACTCTGTATCATGAGAAGATAAAAAAACATTGCTATAAACATACATCTTAAAATTTCTATCATTGATAGGAATTAACAGAGAACTTTAAAAGAAGAGCTAGCACAGAAGATCACAGAAATGTTACAATGTCACATTATACAACTTAGAATGGCAAACAAGCTGACGGCCCACCTGATGGAAAGTGGTAACCGTCGCCTACAAATCGATACAAATCAGGGAAAATCTTTATGTAATCATCCCTTCAAATATGGATATACACTAGGGTTGCCAACTGCCCTGTTTTCCCAGGAGATAGAATGAGCTCCCTGTCGAGGTTTTTTCAAATGACTACAGCATGGGGTTCTTCAAAAAAGGGATAAAAAGGTTTCTTCAAAGCCGACAACGCGGGCGTAATTTTTTTTTTTTATACAACATAGAATGGCAAACAAGCTGACGGCGCACCTGATGGAAAATGGTAACCGTCGCCTATAGACATGAGCAGTACCATGGTCATAACATAGTATACTGTTGCGCCCATGATACCCCCCATGCGTTGCCATTCCTGAGGACTCAGGTGTTATTCCTCTGTACCCTGTAAATTCACGCCATATCCCACCCTTCAAACCGAAACACAGCCATGTAAACACAACTGCTTTACGGTTGAAACACGAATGGGACAGAGGTACCTAAGCAAGCGACTTTTGTACAAAGTCTCCCTCTGGGTTTTCTGCCCTAAAAAGCCTGTCTCTCAATAATAACAGCCTCGGCTTCGTCCGCTTGATCAGGATGAAAGAATCTGTATTTTTTTATAGCAAATA